TTTTAAGGAGGGTGTGGTGCTCTGCACATCTGTTATTCCAGCACTCAGCACTCCTGAGGCAGGAGGATTACCAGACTAATCTGGGCTACCCAACAAGCCCCAGGCCGTGTAGGTAGCAGAGATACTAGTGCCTGGTTTTATGTCCCTTGGTGATTGATTGAGGCAGTCTGCCTGGAGGAGTCAATGTGTAGTTAAAACATAAGGAATGAATCAGGCCAAGGGAAACAGAGCCATTGGTTAGTCCTTCTACTGCCTACCTCCGGTGCTGGCAAGGAGAGTCGACCATCATACAAGGCTGGAAATGGGGAACTATTGAAACAATTAAGAAAGGTTCTCATGGAAGCATCGAGGTGGTGGCTCTTTCCTCTGCAATGGGGATCTGGCCAAGGCTCTGCACCTTTATCTCCAAGTATATGCAAGAAGCAGTTTGGGCATTGGTGGCAATGGAGGAAGGAAAATGTTTCAAAATACGGAGGCCAGCATTAAGCCACGGTAGAGGACTGTCTCAGGCCCATGACTGAACTGGGTGTGCTTCATTCACCTATGATAGAATTGGATGTGACATAAAAGGGCTCATAAGCTAATTTCCAGATAGTGGCACTGTTGAGAGGTCAACAGCTCCATTGCTGGATTAACCCATTGCTGAATTCTTAGCTGGATGGTTTGTTAGGAAGAGGAGGAGCTAGGCTGGAGGAAGTCGGCCATTGACGGTGTGGCTTTGAAGGGTGACCTCACCTAGCCCTCCTCTTCCCCCACTTTCTGTTCCTGGCTGCCAGGAGGTGAGCACCGTTGCCCATCACGACCTTCTGCCATGATGTTCTAACTCCCCACAGCCTCGGAACAGTGAGCCAGGACCATGGCCTGACACGTCTGAAAACATGAGCCAAAGGGAATCCCTCCTGTGAGTGGATTCATTCCGGCATTTTGTCACAGTAATAAAAACAAAGTGACTCAGATTCTCCAGAAGCAGTTAGGCTCCTCCCACTGAGTATGGTGCGGAGCGAGGGGAACTGGCTGAAGCAGGAAGCCTCACGGCCCTAGCCAGGAAGCATGAGTAGGAAGCCATCAGCAAGGTGCAGGTCCCCGTCTCAACTGCAGTCCATGTCTGCAGGTCCTATGCCAGCCTTTTCTGTAAGAGATATGCATCAGTTAGCTGCTTCTAGTTTTTGCCCCACTTACCAGCACACGCTAGTTTTATGGCAGAAATGAATTCCACCCAAACAAACTCCCTTAGTGCACAATTATTCCTCGCTGGCTCCCTCTAGATAAATATCCATGAAGAGGCTTTAATTAAAATGTCAACAGGGGAGGCAGCCTTGCATGCTGCCATCTTCCCACTCAGCAGTAAGCTGGACCCGGGTAGAGTCCAACGGGAAAAATGAGAACTGAGCTTGCCAGGAGGGCCAGCCCTGTGTCAGGGAAGGGACCTGCCCCTGCCCACTGCACAGCTGAGCGCAGACCTAGTGGGACCTAAGCCAGACTCCTCCTCAATTCTGAGGCCAGAGCTGGCTCAGACACTGTGCACTTGGACATCGGCAAATGGCAGGGTGTGGGGATGCGTGTGACCGAGAAAGGCTGTACCGGAATCCACTGCACAGAGGCCAGGGTGGTGGCTGGTAGCTCGCTTGGGTCTGGGTAGGGGGTCAGGAGGGCAAGGACCTGGAGACTCCTGCTGAGAAGGACATAGCATCAGCAGCAAAGGAGAGGCACGGTGCTAATGCCTGGGTCTTTCACAATCTATGTGTGGAGTCTCCTCATTTTTAATGGTTCAGATTAGAATTTACTTTTTTTTTTTTTTGCACCCTTCTGCAACCCAGGCTCTACCCTCAGGTGGCCACATTGTGTCTCACTTGCCAATAGGTTCTGCAGAAAAAGGGGTTTATAAGGAGAGAGGCAGGAAGTGGGGGAGGCGTGAAATTGCAATGAAGGGTGAAGGACAGTTTCCTGAAGTGACAGACTCTGCTGTGCCACTGCTGAGGCTTCTGGATGATGTGTAGAGAAGGGATGATGTGTGGCATTGACCTTGGCCAAGATGCTGCCTGTGTCCTTTTTGTTCTCCTCTGGAGGTGGGGGAGGGGGTCTGCTGCTTCCTGAGAGAGCAGAGGTGCAGCTGGAATGGCAGGGTCCTCAGAGCATGTGAGGGAAAACAGGGGGGAAATGCTGTCTTAAAAGAGGAGGGCTCTATCCAGCCTTGAGTAGAGGTTCTAGTTCATGCTCGCTCCTGGAGCAGCCCTTTTTGTCTCATTCACAGAGGCTGCAGAAGAAGAAAGCAATACAACTGGGCATGGGTACTCAAAGGCCCACTATCCTGTGTGCATGGCTTGGGTCCTTAACTTTATTTAGCCACGAAGTCTTTGTTGAAAAGACAGGGTTAGAACTTCACAAAGTACACAACAGCTTTTAGTGACCATAGTGCGCTCAGTAGAAAGGGGGCCGGCTGCGGGCACACCCTTCAGGAATCCTCCGATATCACAACCAAGCTCAAGGGTGGAATGGCTTTGTCCATGAGAGAAGGACAACAACAACCTGCCTGCACTCTGAGTCCCCATTCTGCACAGTTCTGCAGAGGAAGGCACCAGTAGGCAAAGCCTACAGTGCCAACCTGCAAATGAGCTCCAACCCACTCAGGCTACCGAGCCAGAACCAGCTTACTGACCCCAAAATATCATAACCGTGGTTACACTTCTCATGCCTGAAAAAAAGAACTGAAGTCTGTGAGCAACCCTGAACAGTCTCTGGCTGAGTGGTGTGTGTGTGTGTGTGTGTGTGTGTGTGTGTGTGTGTGTGATGTGTAAGCTGCTGAGCCAGCCTTCCCCAGCTCTGCCGCAGCTCTCAGCCTTCAGAGTCAGGATATAGGGGTTGGGTCAGAGGTTCCTCAGCTCTCCACAGAGACCAGATACCCCAGGCCCATGTGTGGGCTGCAATGCCACCCTCACAGGGATCTCTGTGTCAGTCAAATTTGTGTCACAGTAGCCAACTCAAGTAATGTAAAAGGAAGAATTTGTATTTCGGCTCCATTTCATGAGGCTTCTATCTCTGACTCTGTTGCTTGGGGCCTACAGTGAGGCACAGCGTCATGGTGTGAGCATGAGATGGTATGAGACTGTTCAAACTCATGGTGGACAGGGAAGACACATCACACGTGACCTGCTCCCGCCAATCAGGCCCGCCTAATGTTTCCAAGACCTCCCCAAGTTAGACTTCTACCTGGGACCAATGCTTTCATTCTGTGCATCCTTGATGAGGAGAACTCATAACTCAACTGTAAACCACCCTGGGAGCTTCAGAGTCACAGGCTTGGACACTACACAAGAGGAAGCCCGGACACAGCATTCTTCATTTCTTTATTAAAAATATTAAATGGGTTTAACAATTCCATGCACTTTTCTGACAGGGCTTTATAATTCTTTTGTTGCTGGATAAATGGAAATGATGAATTTCCCAGGCAGAAGCTACTTGGACTGAGATGCGTGTATACATGTGTGTATGTGTATGAGTGTGCATGTAGGCATGCACACATCCATGGTCCATTGTATCTTTTCTAGTTCTTAGTTGTTATATTTTATTTATCTGCACCTCCCAACTGTCCTGTTTCCCTACTTCCTTTTACTCCCCCACCTCCTCCTCCTTTCTTTCACTCCCATCTCTTTCCCCAGATGTGGTCTCAGTATGCAGCCAGGCTGACCTGAAACTTGCAATCCTTCTGCCTACGGGCTAGGATTATGTGCCACGACACCCGATTAGCAGTCTCACAGGTTTCAGTTTCATTAAGAATGATCAGCAACACAGCAGTGCTGGTTGGAGATGAAGATGAATCAGCCATTCCTCTTTCCAGGGCTTCCCTCACCTCTTGGGCTGCCTGAATCTCCAGCTTCATCATGACTAACACACTGGTGTGCACTCTGGCGCTATTCTTGGTTCGCCTCCAGAAGGGAGGAAATAGATGGAGAGGCTGTTAGCATGTGATCAGTTCAGCACATCAGCCTGCCTCTTCAGCCCCATATTCTAGGAACGTCAGAAGAGAGGCCCCAAGGTAGGTGAGTGAACCCATCCCAGCTACACCAAACACACCCACTCAGCCATTGTCCACCTGTGCCCTCTACAGGGTCAAGCTGAGTTACACTTGTCTGGACAGCAGTGAGCAGTCCTGGCTGCTGCCTCTGGGAGATGGGGATGTAGGGACTCAGGCCCCAGATGCAGAGGAGGCCCTGTACTAGACATCACAATAGGAGCTCTCCCTCAAAGAATGTGACCCCCTGGTCATTAAGTTCCAGGGGTGTTTTAAAAAGAAGTAGATGAGGAGACAGCTCATGCACATTGGAAAAGTTCCCTCTTGGGAAAGCACTCACAAAATTAGCTCTTCGGCTCTGCTCAGGCAAGATGGTCCTTTTGAAGTTTTACTCGTGAGTTGGTGCTCTCCTGCTGCTTTTTATAGGGGCTCTGGGGATTGAACACCGGTTGCCAGGCTTTCAAGCAAATGCAGCTGCATGTTGAGCATCCATTCAGCCCTAAGATGTTGTGTCTACGTTTATCAGTGTGGTACTTGGGGGTCAAATCCAAGGCCATGTACATTTGGATAAATGCTGTCTCTCTGAGATATATTCCTAGATCCTGTTTTTTGTTTGTTTGTGTATTTTGTTTTGTTTTTGAAAGAAGGTCTCACTATTTAGCCCAGGCTGATTCTCCTGTCTCAACCTCCTGAGTACTGGGATTGCAAATGTGTCTAACACACCTGGCTCACACTGGTCTTTTCTGAAACCTCTGCTTGCACGGCATTGACTATCTGGGCTGCTTTTGTTTGTATGTTGTATGGAATGTCTTTTTGCTGTGTGACAGAGAACCTTAAAACCCAGTGACTTTCGTGTGACATTATGATCGTTGTCTTAGGTTTCTGTTGCAGGGAAGAGACACCATAACCATGACAGCTCTTATAAAGGGAAACATTTAATTGAGGTGGTGGCTTACATTTTCAGAGGTTTAGTTCATTGTCGTCATGACAGGGAGCATGGGGACTGGAGGTGTGGCAGCGTGGAAGCAGACATGGTGCTGGAGAAGTCTACATCTTGATCCAAAGGCAACAGGAAGTGAACTGAGGTACTGTGTGGTATCTTGACCATATATGAGACTTCAAAGCCTGCCTCCACCGGGACACACTTCCTCCAACAGAACTGCACCTACTCCGACAAAGCCACCTCCTAATAGTGCCATTCAAACCACCACAGTCATTTACTCAACACAGTGATTTCTCTCGGCTCACCTGGGAAGTTTCTCGCTTGGTCTCTGCTGGGCTCAGCTAGGTAATTGGTGCCAATTCACTTGGGGATTGATTGGTCTGGAGGGACCTTATCTAGAACATCTCATGACCCCCATTCTTCGGAAGGCTGACTCGGGCTTAGATAGTTCATTCTGAAGTGCACAGCCCTCTGTAAACTTTGCCTCACTCTGGTGATAGTCCACTGTCTACAACAGGTCATGTGAGGGAGGCCCTATCACAGAATGTGCCTGGTGGAGAGGAGGAAGGCTTTGCATGGCCTGCCTCTGGGAAACTGCTTAAACTCTAGCCTAGTGACACCGGCAAGACATATACTAACTTTATGGCATATGCTCCAAGACCCCGAGAGATGAAGGGGGCTGTTAGCAACAGGACTGCATTTAGGAACCCCTGTGGCCACCAAGCAGACATCCAGCATTGAAGGCCCCACATTGATCTCCACCTTCTATGCTCATTACCTTAGACAGCATCATGTGGTCCTTCTGTCCCTGGTGCTTCTACCTCTGGCCCAGCACAGATCGAGCTGCTTTTTATAGTAGGGATAGAACACAGGACTTTTGCACACTAAGGACCACTGAGCTATGTCCTCAGTCTGAAACCTTTTAACATTAAGCAAATGGGTAAGTCAAAGGGGTACTTGAAGGCAAGGTTAAATCTTGCTTTACCTCTCCTGCGCTTGCAGTACCACCTGGCCAGCCATCCTCTGACTGGCTTACATGTCCATTGACTGCTTCTCTGACTGCTGCATATCTTGATGGTCTGAAATTCTCTTCACAACTGCTTTTAGATACCTCTCATTCCTGTTTCTGTCACCTGAGCCTGCCTTAGTGCTAGGGTTTGCAAGAGTGTAACCATCAAAGCCTGGGCATTGGATGTCTAGTCTTCAAGCTATACGAAGCACCACTATCCCTTGTACTTTTTTTCAGACTGTTTTTTTCCATGTGCCCAGGAGCTCCTGTGAATTCTAACTGGACCTCTAGCCATCCATCAACTCACCTATCACTGCATCCATCTTCCTAGCAATCTGTGACAATGAGGAGGCACAAAAGAGGATTGTGGTCTTTGTAGCAATCAATGAACTACGATTCTCTCTGCTGGTGATGGCCAGAAGCAGAGTGGCCAGATTGTTGGAGGGCAGGAGGAAAGACTGGGAAATTAAGATCTGAGGGCTAGTATGTCTGGACGGGGTCGTGGATGGACTTCTTAACTGGGGTCTGGACTGTGCAGAGAAATAGCATCTCTGGAAAGACTGGACACAGGAGAGTCTGCCTTCTTCTCACTCCACAGTGTGAGCCAGCACCAGTCCACACGTGGGCAGCTGGAGTCATGGAGATTCTGAATGGATCATAAAAGAGAGGAGTAGGCATGGAGCATGAGTTCTGTCACATACACAGTTGCAGGCAGAGCAAGCTGCATTATGGAGTAGGGAAATGCTTTGGACAAAAGGAAAAATGGCTACATCCATTCACATCATGCCTAAGTATGCACCTGGAGGCCAGTGTACCACACTTAGGCATCCATGTTTACTGATGCACTAGCCACAATTACCAAGATACAGAACTAGCTTAAGTTCTCAGACTTTATAAAGAAAATGGGGTTATATATGCACATTAGAATTTAATCAGATGAGGAAAGTGGATGGAATTGGCAGCCATTGTGTTAAGCAAAATAAGCCAGACTCAGAAAGATAAGTATTATGTCTTTCTAGATTTAAAACTAACTCCCCCGCCTCTCTCTCTCCCTTCCTCCCTCTCCCCCCCCACCTGCCTCTCTCTCTCTCTGTGTCTCTCTGTCTCTCTGTCTCTGTCTCTGTCTCTCTCTCTCTCTCTCTCTCTCTCTCTCTCTCGTGTGTGTGTGTGTGTCCATGTGTGATTAAAATAGAAGGAGTACTATTAGGAGAGGAGACCAGCAGGATTGGAGACTAGGGTGAGATGTGATGACCAGGCTGTACTGAACCAAGTCTGATAAAGACATGGATGGAGACGTCCTGATGAAATCTGTTGTTTTGAATGCTAATTAAAAGAACGAATTTGAAAAATAAACTAACTACAACACAAGACTTGGGGACCATCTCAGAAAAGAGGGAAGATTGTAGGAATCAGAGGACCAGAATGTCTGCTTGAGAGTGTGTCTTCTATATATGATAAGGAACTATACTCATGAAACCTCAACAACATGGCTGCCTAAACAGGATCTGCACAATGGCAACACCAGCTGACCTGTTAACAGAGATAGGGAAAGACTCACAAGGTCTAACCCTCAGTGGTTAAGAGCACTGCCTGCTCTTCCAGAGGTCCTGAGTTCAATTCCCGGCAACCACATGGTGGCTCACAACCATCTGTAAAGAGGTCTGGTGCCCTCTTCTGGCCAGCAGACATGCACACAGACAGAAGATTGTATACATAATAAATAAATAAATATTTAAAAAAAAAAAAGAACTATAGAGGGGGGAATTATCTTTACCAAGGAGGAGTCCACTGACAGCTATCCAATCCCAAGTGTCAGCCCGAAACACATACACAGAGCAACAACATGAAATGTTCTCTCTCTCTCTCTCTCTCTCTCTCTCTCTCTCTCTCTCTCTCTCTCACACACACACACACACACACACACACACAAACACACACACATGAATTTGGGAAGAGTAAGTGAGTGGCCTACACTAGAGGAGTTGGAGGGGGAGAAGAGAAGGGTGGAAATGATTTAAATGCAATTCTCATACATTAAATTCTAAATAAAGACGAATATCAAAAATTACAAGGAAAGAAAAGGATTGACAGTACTTCTACCCATGAAGATTGATAGTAGTTAATCTGATTACAGGGGAAAGCCAGTCATCATAGAACCTTCATCCAGAAACTGATGGAAGCAGGTGCAGAGATCCATAGCTAGAACTGGGCCGAGTTCCCAGAGTCCATTCGAAAGAGAGGAGGGAGCGATGATATGAGCAAAGGGGTCAAGACCACGATGGGGACACCCACTGAAACAGCTGACCTGAGCTAGTGGGAGCTCACTGACTCAGGACTGACAGCTGGGGAACCTGCATAGGACCAAACTGGACCCTTCGAATGTGGGGACAGCTGTGTGACTGGGGCAGTCTGTGATGCCACTGGCAGTGGGACCGGGATTTAACTATAGTGCTTGAACTGGCCTTTTGGAACTCATTTTCTTTGGAAAGATACCTTGTTCAGCCTAGATATAGTGGGCAGGGCCTTGGTCTCACCTCAAAGTGACTTGCGAGATGTTGTTGACTCCCCTTGGGAAGCCTTATGCTCTCTGAGGAGTGGATGGGGGGATGCAGTGGGTGGGAGGTAGAGGGATCAGGAGAAGGGGATGGAGTGGGGACTGGGATCAGTACGCAAAATGAGAAGTTGATAGTACTACAGTCAGTCCCAAGCTTGTTGGAAAAACCCTCACCTGACCTAATAGAGACGAAGGATCCAGTTGCCCTAGCAGCAGCTAGGGCAGACAGTTTTGCAAAGACTCCACACTTTCTACAAATCTGGTGTTGACCAATGAAGAGTCTCCCACAGTCCTCCTGGGTATAGGGTTGCAGCCCAGCCTGCTGGAGGTTCAGGCGAAATGTATAGGAGAGCAGTCACCAGTGGTGTCCCCCAGTATCCCACTCAGCAGTGGTGTCCCCCAGTATCCCATTCAGCAGTGGTGTCCCCCAGTATCCCACTCAGCAGCGGTGTCCCCCAGCATCCCACTCAGCAGTGGTGTCCCCCAGTATCCTATTCAGCAGTGGTGTCCCCCAGCATCCTATTCAGCAGTGGTGTCCTCTAGTATCTCACTCAGCAGCGGTGTCCCCCAGTATCACACTCAGTAGTGGTGTCCCCCAGTACCAAGGCAGAAGAGCAAGTAATCCCAGGAGAAGTAGGGCATTTTGCAGCTCAGGAGCCCAGGGCTCTTTGGTGGGCTTTTCCTGGCTACACAGGGAGGTCTTTGTAACATCTGGACACTTTGAGAATAGGGGAGGAGACAAGCAGTGTTCCGGAGGAGGCAGGATGAAGACATGGTAGTTAGGTGTTAGGGCCCAGAGGCAGACCAGGCACCCAGACACTGGAGGAAAAGGTGGGTATGATACAGGCAGTGTGGGGCCAGATGTGTGGGATCTTAGGTATCTACCCACACCAGCCTGTGATTACTGAGCTCTCCATCTCCAGGAGCAGCTTGACGGCATGATTATGGAAGGAAGGCTAACACCCAGAAACCACCGTGACAGGACCTGTGAGGATGCTGAGGTGTGCCATTTAGACAGGAACTTGGAGAGGCTGCCTGGAAGCTGGCACTGTGTGAAGATGTGGAGGAGGTGGGGGAGGTGAGCCTTCATTTAGAGGACACTTGGAAGAATTGTTCTGAGGACCAAAGAAGCAGGTTGTCTTTAGTGAAACAAAGCAGTGTCTAGCATGTCCACCTCAGGACAAGCGCACCTGTGTCTGACCACATCTGGCTCCATCTTTAAACAGAAGCAGCCATGGCAGCCTCCAGCTGGCTACTGTGGTTTCAGAAGCCTCAGAAAGACTCTGGTCTGCCTCAGGATCCCAGGTTCTCAGGAGTCCAGTTGACTGTCTGTTTTCTCTTCCCCTGCAGGTACCGGCCCTGCCTACAGCACAGACCCTCTGCTGTCGCTGCTCTTGTTAGCGCTGCATAGGTTCCTGCACCCATTGCTGGGACACTGACAGCCATAAAATTTCGGCAGCCACGCGGGGGAGGACCTTGCCACATGGACACAAGGACCAAGGGAAGCATGAAGAAGTCCATGCAGAAATAAATAAATCTTATTTTTTGGGGAAGTAACACAAATTTAGAAGACTTAAAGTAACGCATCAAGTTTCCAGATAGGATAGAGCGAAGGCCGTGCAGTCTGCATGGGGCGCTGAGCTCTCCACGGCAACGTCCAGTTTCTGTTTCTTTCCTTCACGTGCCCTCCGAGTCTTCATTTTGCACGAACTGTTGAACAGGTACTTTGAGGATAATATGTAAAAAAAAAAAAAAAAAAAAAAAAAGTCGGGTCAAAGCCTTTCTGACAAAGTAAAATATTTTTAGGAGATTATTGTGTTTAGAAATTTTTTTTGAATTTACTTTTTCTTTGGGGGCTTTTCTTTATTAAATTATTTCTTTGGAGACATTTTGATTAAAAAAAAACACCATAATTAAAACTCACTGTCAATAATATTTATTTTTAAATAAAGATTGGAAACAAGGGTATAGTTGTTTATAAACTGCACTGTATATTGCTGAATAACAGTTGAATAATAAAAAAGAAACCCTTTTAAATAGACTTTCTACAGCCATGTATGACTGTCCAGTTTCAGTGCCTGTTGCAGCCAGACACTGTGACCTCTGCTTCACAGACACCAGCTGAATGTCTCCCAGGGCAGAAGGTAGCCCAGGACACCTGGTTGTGCCACAGCAAGCAGACAAGAGTACCTGCCTAGCCTGCCAAGGGACGGGGGACTTCCCAGAAACAAGAATGAAGAGAGCGGGCTACTGTGCAAGCCAAGAGCCAGCCTTTCTTTCCAGCCTTCAGTAGAACTGAGGTGCACTTACCTGCTGTGAGCTCATATGCCAGTCTGCGCTGGTCCTAGCTTCAGTGAGCCTCAAAAAAGAGAGGTGGCTAGTTGTCTGTACTCGCTTAGCTTGTACCATGGAGATGGCTTTTGGCCTCTGGATCTGTGAGTTTGGGGACAGGTTGCATGTCTCAGAGACACTAATATGCCATGGGAGCTACCTACTATTAATTTCATGATAGGACTCCGTTAAATACCCAGACCTGTGGGTATTTAAATATAGCCAGACTTTTACAACTGTTGTTTATTTGGGGGTTTGTTTTGTTTTAGTTTTAGATTGGTTTGTGTATTTGAATGTCATGGTTTTCTTTAAATGAGAAGATTTCACACTATAACCTAGGCTAGCCTGAAATTCCTTTGCAGCATAGGATAGCCTTGATCTTGTATCCTCTTCAGCCTCCTAAATGTTGGGAATATAGGTGTGAGGCCCTGAGCCTGACTTAACCTGGATCAAATATGTGCAGTTGTCAGCGTTACTCACCAAATGTTTCCTTTCTCCTGACTCAGCATGTGTTGCCAACAGTTTCTAGCATCCAGTGGCGGGGGGGGGGGGGACAGCACCCACAGGAAGAAGGGGTTCATCCAAGACACTTGTTTGCTGATGCAAGGCTCTCTGAAGCATTCTCTTCCAATATGACAACAGGAACATTCTAAATAGCAAGAGACACACCCCACCCACTGACAAGCAACACCTCTGTAATCTTACTGCTGGGTAGTAATGGCAGAAATGGTTTGATGAGGAGTGAGCCTTACTTATTTCAACCCAGTCACTTGGGGGGGGGGGTCTGCTTGTTACTGTACTGCAACCCTGCCTATTCTGACTATTTCAGCATTCAGATGATCTATTGCCTACGTAAGAGAAAAGATGAATCTCATGTTTGGAAAGTCCCAGATGTGCAGAGACCCTGGCATGAAGCTAGTGCACTGGATGCTATGTGAAGAAATCCTCAGGATCACTGTTTCTGGTGGATGCTGCAGGCTCTTCCACCTTCCATTTTTGTTGATCTGCATCAATTGAGCTGATGGTGGATAGTGATTCTGTCCAGAAAGATTGTCTGTTTTTATGGTGAACTCAAGACTATGCTTGACTAATATCACTGTGCATCTTAGCCCTCTGCTTGGGAAAAGAAAAAGGCACTTCCAAGATGCCAGGTTGAATGGAGACATGTGTTAGAGACAGGGTGATGTGCCAGGTGACCAGTGCAGAGGTTGGGTTGAAGAAAATCTGTCCCCATCAGATCCTGCTGCACAGGTGAAGTAAACCAGATGCCTGCTGAGGTTCCCACCCTGGTGTAATGGGCATGAGAAAGAGGTAGGTGGTCTGTGGATACACTGCTCTCCTGGGCTCTCAACACACCTTAGAGATGGGTGTGGTGAGGCACACCTTTAATCCTATTAATCAAGAGGCTGAGGAAGGAGGGTCTCTGTGAGCTCGAGGCCAGCTTGGTCTACACAGAGAGTACCAGGCCAGCCAGAATCACATGGCGAGACCCTGTCTCAAAAAGCCAAACACACACACAAACACAACAACAACAATAAAGAACAACAACAATAAACAATGGCATCTGGAATAGAGGGATAAATACTTTATCTTCTAGCGTGGAGGACAACCTGGACACCTGGTCAAGGCTACAGTGAGCAACAGGAACAATTGTCAGATGCTCTAAGAAGTCAAGACAAGAGTGTGGAAGAAGTGCACTCTGATAACAGGACAGAAGCGCTCACAGAGAAGCTCTGGCCAAGCAGGAAGCAAGAGTGAAGCTCCCTGGCCCTGGACACTGTGTGCTGGGTGCTGCTGGCTCACCATGGGCACAAAGGGGGAAGTGTGCACTTGCAGATTCATCACGCAGACTTGTGAGCTGTGCTTTTCCTGCAGCTCTCTGGGAAGACAGAAATACATCCTTCACTGATATGGACATTAAGCACATAAACCTGAAAAGAAAAGCATCCACCCAAACTGGAAAAATACAAAACTCACTACCCAAACTCCCTGTCCTTTCCATATTTGGTTTCAGACAAAGACAAGCATGCATAAGGTCCAAGGACAAGATGATTTATTTCTATGTGACAAGCACACACTGAGTAGTGGGGTGCTTTGGCCCCAGTTTATGAGCAGCACCCAATCTGAGTACATTCCAGGGTTACCAACGGAATTCTAGAGGTTGGAATGACAATTACTTTATAATTAGGGCTGGAGGAAGAGTGAGATCCACAGGTTGAGCCAGGGAGGGGAGGCAAATAGGAGAAGAACGTAGATGTCTCCATGCCCCAAGCCTGGGGAAAGCCCTGAATTCTGCAATCTTGATAAAGGTTGCAGGCTGGTTGGTAGTACCTCACAAGAGCCATATTACTCATGTTCTTTGGCAGTAATCAATTTTAAAAAGCTTGTCCTTGGTGAGAAGGACAGAAATTCTTGGAGGTTGACAGAATGTGATATGATCCTACACAGTACCATTCAAAATTCTGTTCTCATCCTAAATCCATGCTCCTAGACGCAGCTCTGACCCAGAGGACACGGGGTCTGCCTGACCTGTACAAGGTGGCCCTTAGTTTCAGTACAATAAGCAGGGCCATGTGGGGGCTGCTGTACTCGGTGCTAAGGGGCTTCTGATGCTTCTGGATAAGTTGCAACCCCTATGACTTTGCTAGGAGCCCTTCCCACATTACATTTGCTGACAACGATGATTTACATTCGACCAGCATTTCTGAGAGTACAGCCTCTGCTTTTTCTGGGCAAAACATGGCAAGGAGTTAGGCACATCCACATAGTTCATGTATGTATCTGCACTGTGCTCATGCACACTTTACACAGGGAAACTCCAGCCAGCCTGGGTGCCCAGACTTTGTGCAGTCATGTTGAAACAGGAGCGGCGGCAGGGCTGCGTCCCCGGCACCCGGCCGCCCGCATGGCTAGCTTATGCCCAGAAATAATTACACGGAAACTGTATTCTTTCAAACACTGCCTGGCCCGGATAGTTCCAGTTCCTTATGGCTAGCTCTTACATATTGTTCTAACCCATTTCTAATATTCTGTGTAGCCCACGAGCTGGCTTACCAGGGAGGATCTTAACCTGCGTCTGTCTGGAGCGGGAGAACCATGGCGACTCCTCACACAGCTTCTTTTTCCCAGCATTCTCCTCTGTCTACTCCGCCTACCTAATTTTCTATCCAATAAAATGGGCCAAGGCAGTTTCTTTATTAATAAGAAATCACTCCCACATCACAGTCACACTGCTGCCCCCCACCCTAGGGATCCCTGCTGTCATCAGTCAAGAACCAAGACAATCCACTAAGAATAAGAGAATGCCATTTTGGATGGAACTAGAAAAAAAAAAAAACATCTTGAGTGAGCTAACCCAGATCCAGAACGACAAACAAGGTATGTACTCACTTGTTAAGTAGTGGATATTAGATGCAAAACAAAGAATAACCATGCTAAAATCCACAACCCCAGAGAAGCTAGATAAAAAGGAGGGTCCTAGAGGGACACATATGGAGGGCCCCATGGAAGGGAAATAGCTGAGATCTCCTGGGAAAACAGGGAAGGGGAAGGAATAGGGGTGGGAACATGAGGGACTGAGATGGCTGAGTTGGGGGAGGAACAGAGAGGGGGAGCAATGAAAGATGTATCTTGATAAGGGGAGCCATTCTGGGGTTAGGGAGAAGCCAAGTACTAGGGAAATGCCCAGGAATCTACAAGAATGACCCTAGATAAGACTCCTAGAAATAGAGGAGAGGGTGCCTGGATTGGCCTTCCCCTATAATCAGATAAGTGACTACCCTAATTGTCATCATAGAACCTACATCCACTAACTGATGGAAATAGATGTGGTGATCTACAGCCAAGCACGGGGCTGAGCTCCTGGAGCTTAGTAGAAGTAAGGGAGGAGGGGTCATATGAGCAAGGGGGGTCAGAGATAGCTGATCTGAGCTAGTGGGAGTTCAAGGACCCTGGACTGACAGCTGGGGATCCTGCATGGGACTGAACTAAACCCTCTGAATGTGGGTGACAATATTTGTCTTGATTTTGGGACCTGGCAGTGGGACATGGATTTATCCTAGGTACATGAATTGGCTTTTTGAAACCCATCCCCTATGGTGGGACACCTTGTTCAGCCTTGATGCAGGGTGGAGGGTCTTGGTCCTGCCTCAACTTGGTATACCAGACATTGTTGACTCCCCAAGGGAGGCCTTATCCCTCTGAGGAATGGATGTGGGTGTGATGGAAGAAGGTGAGGAGCAGGAGAAGGGAAGGGAAGGGTAACTGGGACAGCTATGTAAAATGAAAAGAATTTAAAGAAAAAAGAGAAAAGAACATGCTTCTAGAAGATAACAACCAAACATGACAAAGTAAAGCATAATAAGATAAAAAAAAAAAAGAGAGAGAATGCCATTTCCATTATTGTCAAGACCTTTATCAGACACCTGCCCCATTTTGTGACTGCAGACACAACATGAGGCAAAGTATAGAAACACCAACAGTAGTGACAGAGACATTGGTTGAATATGTATACCAGACTCTTATAGAAGTTTTTTTTCATATAAACTGGAAGTAAGTACCTGTGAGCAGGGCAGTGGAGAGATGTTGTAGAATATTCTCATGATGGAATATCACATGGGTCAGAGTGAATGAGTCACATACAACAA